CACCTGGCACCAGACAGTTATTGCAATATTATTGACTATATTTTCTATGTTGTACTTTCCTAACTACCAATTTGTACTTCTCAATCCTGTCATCCTTTTCACCCAGCCAACCTCCCTCCCCTCTGTCAACCATCAGTCTGTTCTCTGTAAGTCTGTTTCCATTTTTTAAAATATAGATTTTTATTGATTTCAGAGAGGAAGGTAGAGGGAGAGAGAGAAATGTCAATGATGAGAGAATCATTGACTGGCTGACTCCTGCATGCCCCCTACTGGGGATTGAGCCCACAGCACGGGCATGTGCCCTAGACTGGAATCAAACCCACGGGCCAATGCTCTATTCACTGAGCCAAACTGGCTAGGGGTGTTTCAATTTTATTTGTTTATTTAGTTCTTTAGATTCCACATATAAGTGAAATCATATGGTATTTGCCTTTCACTTAGCATGATAACCTCGAGGTCCATCAACAAATGGTACGATTTTGTTCTTTTTTGGAATCAAGTAATATTCCACTGTATATATGTATCAGTTATTTTTTTTAAATCTATTTTTCTATTGATGGGCACTTTGGTTGCTTCCATATGTTGAGGCCCACCAATCTTAAAGGTTTTAAGAAGGTCAATCTTTTTTGCTCAGTCTACATACTCAAATGTTAATCTAATCCAGAAATACTCTCATAGACAAACCTAAAATAACGTTTGGTCAAATATTTGGGCAATCCATAGATCAGTCAAGTTGCCACATAAAATTAACCTTATACCTATTTTCCCATGGTTATGAGAAGAACACTTCCTAAGCAAATCCCAGTAGGTATATCAAGGAACAGGTGATTGTTGAAAGCTATGAGAATCTATTCTAATCCATACTACTGTATTCCTGCCTTCTCAGGACAAGGGTATTAACAGTTGTTAAATGAGTAAACTACTGATTTGAGGAAAAGAGAAGTAACTCTTTAAAAGACTGACGGAGGCAGACCACCAGTGAGAGAGGACTTCCCTGGGAGTCCTCAATCCTTGGAGCCTCTCATTCCCTCTTTTTGCCCCTGTCTTGCTTGGGAACGTTATTACTATGTTTATTATTTCTACAGGGAAATGGTTCCTGAGTGCTAAACAACTAACTTTAAAACTGGGAACACACGGTGTTTTTAAATTGGGAGAATGCCTTCTTATAATGTTCATTATGGGAAGGAACATTACTGATAACATTATGAGATAGAGGTTACATATATTTTTTTTTACTCCATTTCCCATTATCTGTTTTAAGTGTAACTCCAGAAAGTTTGTATAAAAATTAGCAAGCACATAAACGTGTTTGCTGGTGGTCCTAATCACCTGCCGTCAGCCATGGCTGTGTATCAGGTTGCTGTCAGGTGTTACTATTGGCCAGCTCACCTACATGATACTGTAAGTGAAATGAACTGTCATTCATTTTTGTGGTTTTTGACCTCTTTAGGTTTAATTCCAAAAGAAATATACCTGAAATGGGACCTTTTGAAGGATTTCTTTTGACACATTTTCTTTAAATGATTGCAACGTATATCATTCCACATGCTCTTTTAAAAAACAAAATTTTTTTTATTGATATTTTACAGAAAGGAAGGGAGAATAATAGAGTGTTAGAAACTTTGATGAGAGAGAAATAACAATCAGCTGCCTCCTGCTCACCTCCTACTGGGGATGTGCCTGCAACCAAGGTACATGCTCTTGACCAATATCAAACCTGGGACCTTTCAGCCTGTAGGCCGATGCTCTATCCACTGAGCCAAACTGGTTAGGGCTCCACATGCTCTTTTTACAATATGACTGATAATCCTCCCCTTGGGAAGTATGATCTATGTCCTCTCCCCTGAAATGTGATTTTTTTTTTTTTTTTTTTTTTTTTTTTTTTTACTGTTTCAACAGATACAATATAGTGAAAGTGAAGCCATAAGAATTCTGAGGTTGTCATAAAAGTCAGTGCAGGTTCTGCCTTGTCCTTTGTGAGTCTCTCTTGGAATACTCCCTTTGGGATTGTAGCCACCAGGCAGTGAGAAAGATAAGCAGCTACCTAGAGAGGCCACATAGAGATGGGCATTCCAGCTGACAGTCCCAGCTAGAGCCCAACAACAAGCCAGCAGCAGTTTCCAGATAGGTGAGTGAACAAGCTTCCAGATCCCAGGCCTTGGGCCCCCTCTGCGCTGATGTCATGTGGTGCAAAGATAAGCTGTCCCATCCAGCCTTGTCCAAAATGCGTATTTGTGAGGTAAATAAAGGATTGCTGCTTTGTAGGCCCCTACGTTTATGATGACCTGGCAAGTATGAATAACACCACTATAGGCACTTAGCATACAATTAAATCATGTCCAATCTCTTAGATCCATGGTTGGCAAACTGCAGCTCGAGAGTTACATGCAGCTCTTTGGCCCCTTGAGTGTGGCTCTTCCACAAAATACCACGGCCTGGGCGAGTCTATTTTGAAGAAGTGGCGTTAGAAGAAGTTTAAGTTTAAAAAATTTGTCTCTCAAAAGAAATTTCAATCATTGTACTGTAGATATTTGGTTCTGTTGACTAATGAGTTTGGCGACCATTGTCTTAGATCAACATTAACATTCTTATAGCCAGAGAAAAAATATAGCACATAGCCATAGAAATTCTGTCCTTGGCCCTGTATTTTCACACACAATCCTTCTGCAAGTCTGAGAATCATGGTGATCTCTGCTGATCAAGTTATTTTTTGATCAAACTAGTCCTAAACCCCAATACAAACTTAAGGACTATAGAGAACTTAATGGTATATTTTCAGAATGAAAAAAAAAATGAGTTTTCTTGCTTTATTAAATACTCTTTCCTACACCTTTATCCCAATCTTTCTTAGAGTTTTGAATGGGAGGAGGGTGACAGGCAAAGGTGGGTAAAAGGGTATTTTTACAACTGTTCTAGACAACTCACTCACACATTTTTCCTGAGCCCTTCCTAAAGGAATGTGCTGGATGGTGGTGAATTATTCTTTTTGTTTTGCAATGGTTATTGTGTAAGGGGTTTCATTAGGGATTTAAAAATGTTTGAACTCCACGAACAAATTTTAACTTAGAAAATACAATTCATCAGTAATTTTCTCTCTTTCTCTTTCTTGACCTCCAAAAATATTTAAATTAACTTCACATGGGGGATCATGATACACAGGTATTGTGAGATGTACAAGACGGATTTTTGTCCTTTCAAGAAGTAGCCATATTGTAGCACGATTAGCCTCGAGGGCACCATTTCACTTATTAAAAAAGAAACCCATTGCGGGGACTTCCATAAAGTCAGAATAAGCAAACCTTGAGTCATCTTTTCCTGTCTCATTTCTCTTTTTCTTTTCTTTTCCCCCCTTCCCCCTCCTTTCTGGGGATACTTCTATTCCAACTTAGCTTCTCTTACGTTACCATTCTTTCTTGCTTAATTGGTTATCCCAGCTTCCCATCCTTTTTTTTTTTTTTTTATGTTTTTATTGATTTTTTATAGAGAGGAAGGGCGAGGGATAGTTAGAAATATCGATGAGAAACAAACATGGTTCAGCTGCTTCCTGTACCCACTCCACTGGGGTTGTGCCCGCAACCAAGGTACATGCCCTTGGCCGGAATCGAACCTGGGACCCTTGTCCGCAGGCCGACGCTCTATCCACTGAGCCAAACCGGTCAGGGCTTCCCATCCTTTTGCATCAGCCCACAGGAAGTTGCTCCCTCCCAGCTCTACATTCCTGGGACCCACCAGCCCCGAATTATATCGTGTGCCTTTCAGAAATGAGACTCAATAAAAAAGGACCAAGACGCCGTGCCTTGGATTCCTAAATTTCATCTTTCTCACATGCACCTGCTACACCCAAGGCCTGACTGGGTCTGAGCTCCCAGGCCGGGTGGCAGCGACGCGCACTGATAAGCCTCAGGCAGCCCCCGCGGAGGAGGAGCAGCTACTGCAATAATTTCGCAATAATAACAGGAGCGAAGCCTGGAAGAAGCCGCCAGCCTCGCCATCGTAGCGCTACACGAGGATCCACGCGCCTCCCACGCTCCGGGCCGAGCCGTAGTAACCACGCTCAGGAGGGACAAGATGGCGCCGTCCCCGCCGCCGCCGCCGCCGCCGCCGGCGATGGAAGGGGGCGGGGCCGGGTGCGTCACATGACCCCGCCCCCCGGGGCCGCGCGCCCCCAGCAGCCCGGGCGCTCTCCGGAGCCCCGCGGCCGCGCAGCCCGTGCCTGCCCCCTCAGGGGCGTCCTCGCCGGTGCCCGCGCTGCTGGGGGGCTCTCTCCCGGCAGCCGAGGGCCGGCGCGGGGTCCGGAGAGGGGGCGCTGTGCCGTGCACAGGCCACAGGGCTGTGGGACGGGTTCCCCGCCGCCGGCGCCGGGGCGGGTGGGGGCGCAGGTGGAGGTCCGGGTAGATCGCGGGGGGCCGCCTGGAGCCGAGGGCGAGGCCATTGGGGGAGACTCAGGGCGTCCTGCCCAGGCCATGGGCGCCGTCGGGAGCTCGGGGTTCCCCTCGAGGCTTCGACCCCTCGGCTTGGGCTTTGCGCAGGTTTCCCATCGCCATCCAGCCTCGATGCCGGCAGGTCCAATGGTCTCTTCCCTCTAAGGAGGGGGCTGAGCCGGTCGGCGGAGGCGACTGGAGAGGGAAGCCCCGACCCTCGGGGGCGTGGAAGGAGCAGAGGGCGGCGTGGGCGGCGGGAGCGGGGAGTTCCCTCCCGTGTGAGCATCCCATGCCGCCTCCGTTAGGGCTTCCCTCTCCGCCGAGCGGGCTCCGACCGCGCTGCCCTCATGTGGGCGCTGACAGGACCCACGAGGGAGCGGGCTTGGGGCGCCGCCTCGCCCCCCTCCCTCCCCGCCTCCTAGGCGATGTGGAGTGGTGAGGGGCCCCGAGGCTGCCCCGGGCTCTGCAGGTCTCCTCGCGGCCCCCGCGGGTCCCTCTGCGCGCGGGGCAGGAGAGCCTGACGCGGGGCGGCGGCGGGCGGCGGGCGGGAAGCGGGCAGAGCCGGAGCCCGGCCTCGCCATGGGGCACAACGGCAGCTGGGCGCCCCGCAACGCCAGCGAGCCGGCGGGCGCCAACCGCAGCGCGCTCGGGGAGCTGGGCGAGGCGCAGCTGTACCGCCACTTCACCACCGCCGTGCAGGTCGTCATCTTCTTCGGCTCGCTGCTCGGTAAGCCGCCCGCGGGGCAGCCCCGAGGGCACGGGCGCCCGCCTCGTCCCTGGGTGGCGAAGCGCAGGTAGCTGGAGGAGGTTGACGAATGTCGGGGGGGGACGACTCCGGGGAACTTCCGCAGCGCAGGGACGGTCCACTCCGGCCCCCCTCTGGAAGCCGAGGAGTCCTCCCGCAGGGCTTTCTTCTGCCAGAGCCAGGCGGCGGTCAGCCTCCCCGGGATGGGCGCAGGGTCGTGCCCATCATCCCATACTTTTTGTGCCCGGGCGAAGCGCTGGCCCCAGCGCTGGTTTACAGAGAGCGGGGGACAAGGCTTCTGTTTTGTTGCGGATGACGGATGTGTTTTCCTCTCTCTTCTATTCCCTTACATGTAAAGTTATTTCGAAAGAGCCTTATTTTGCGTGTCTTAGGGCTTGCTTCTTCGGAACATCGACCTGCTGGTAAAACAACCCATTGGAGTTAAACTTCGTTGCCTTCAGGTGTTTTTGAACACCCCAACAAAACAAACCTGTCTATTTCTCTACCTAGGTTTTGTTTGAAGTATAGAGTAAAGACAGGATAAAAAACAAAACAAAACACAGAACGTGAACACGTTCAACAGATTTAGTTTATACTTGTTGGGAGAAGAAAACGCCACTGAATTGAAATGAGTGAAAAATGAGTTTGCCTCCTAGTGTGAGAGCTTTCAGCGCTTCTGGTAGCGACCCTTTAAGTAATAAAGGATACTATCAGTATTCATTTCTGTTGAAGCTTTTTGGACATGTTGTAAATATGTGGCTTCCCTTTAAATGTAAGTTCTCTGCCGATGGCATTTGTAATGATGTAAAAACGATTGTGATTATGTGTGATTTTATGGCCTGGAGCAATCATAGATTACTTACTTGTAGACTGCTATGAATTTCCATGGAAACCAAAACAACTGACATAAAAAAGGCAATGGAAGAATTTTATGTGTTTGGAATTTCCCTTCATAATTTCTCTGGTTGTCATCATCCTGTCCCATTCTATCATAATATTTGTCTTCTAATTTTTGTCATGAGGGCATTTTCAGGAGTAGACCTCAATGTGACTACTACTGTATGTCTAGATCTGTGTGTGTGTGTGTGTGTGTCTGTGTGTTAAAATGTGTTTTATGATTGTCCTTATTTCATCTCCTTCCACATGGCACTACATGCAAAAACTGCTTTTGTGGCTATCTCTAAACAGGAGATTTGATTTTCCCCTTGATCTTGGCTATGTCTAACTTGGCTAGGAGGACATGTTTCCCCCCCTCCACATTACTTGGGTCCTCCTAAGAGAATTCCATTTGTTCCTTTTTATTTTCAGGGGGAAAAAAAAAAAAAGAATAAGTATGTTCAAATGTCTAGAAATCAAAGATCAGAGAACTTGTGTAAAAGTGAAAGTTCTGGTTTCCTTAAAAGCTTAGCTAAACATACCCCTGTGTACTTGTTACTTACTGGTATTCTTGATTCATTATTCTCTGAGGATTTGATGCATACAAACATATCTATATAATTGAATCTTCCTGGTAAAGACAGTTGAAGCTCAGAGTTTAAGTTTCAAAGTCATGTGCAATCAGTTACAAGGCAAGTCAACTTGGCAAATATAGTTTTATGAAGTTAAAAATATACAAAAAAAAAAGCATGTATTAGGAATAAAAAGATTTATCATGGAAGAATCTATAAGGCTGAAAAATTATTGGAGGATGGAAGAGTATCTAGAATGGTATATGACTCTAATTTAATTTACTTGTTTTTCCCTGTTCTGTAGCATAGATGAATGAGTCCTTTTTTTTTTTCTTTAAATAAGTTCAAATATACTAGAATTTTTCATTGAGATATCCAAAGGCCCTCTATTGAAAATAATTCTGTGGGGGAAGGGAGAATTTTTCCCCTCCTTTCCCTCATAGTACTTTTGGCAGGTCTAATCAAATTGACATAAGACAGATGAACAGGACTAAATACCCAAATTTATTATGTATATACATAGAACGGTCCTATAAGAATAAAGGAGCTGAGGACAGATCAGGCAATTGGGGCGATTGGCATCTTAAACTAAAGAGAAAGGGAGTAGTGATTTGGACTTCAAAGGAAGGTAGCTGAAGAGAACTTAAGAGTGTTGATTTCCAATGATGGTCCCTTCATGTAGGAAGACATTACCTGTGGACACTTTATGAAATGAAATTCACAGAGGGCCTTTATTTATTTACCAGAGGCCTGGTGCACAAAATTCATGCACAGGTAGTGTCCCTAGCCCAGGCCAGTGATCAAGGCCAATCAGGTTGGTTGACTTCCTCACCTCCTCCTTCCCTTGCACTCTCAGCACCCCACTGCTGTTGCTGGTTGTCTGCCATGCTCTATGCTGCCCCCTTGTGGTCAGCACACATCATAGCGAGCAATCAAACTCCTGGTCTCCCAGTGGAACTCCCAAGGGGACAATTTGCATATTAGCCTTTTATTACATAGGATTTTTTTGTTAATCCTCACCTGAGGATATTTTTCCATTGATTTTTAGAAAGAGGGGAAGGAATGGGCACATGTGCCCTTTTGGGGCTGGGAATTGAGCCTGTAACTGAGGTACATGCCTATGACGGGAATCAAACCTGGGACCCTTTAGTCCATGGTCCAATGCTCTATCCACTGAGCAAAACTGACTAGGACCACAGAGGGTCTTTAATGAGCAAGGTCAAGGAAAGTTTTGCTAATGGTGGATGGATGCTTCCTGTGCAATGTCAGATACCCTTGACTTACCTGACAACATGGTTACTACCAATCAAGAATACTACTTCATCAAGGACAATAAGGGGGTGGGGCATGATTGAGGAAGGGTGGGGGACTGAAATGGGGGTTGAAGACAAATATATGATACTTTAATCAATAAAGAAATTTAAAAAAAATTACTTCAGCCCTAACCAGGTTTGGCTTAGTTGATAGAGTGTTGGCCTGCAGACTGAAAGGTCCCTGGTCAAGGGCATGTACCTTGGTTGCTGGCAAGTACCCAGGAGGGGGTGTGCAAGAGGCAGCTGATCAGTGTTTCTCTCTCATCTATGTTTCTAACTCTCTATCCCTCTCCTTCCTCTCTGTAAAATATCAATAAAATATATATTTTAAAAAGAATACTGCTTCAGCCTTACACTTATGCTGGGATTTATAGTTTATAACATACACCACATTATTCAATTATAATAATACACACACACACACACACACACACACACATATATATATATGCCCAACAACTAGAATGGCAGGACGACTAGAACGACCAGACCAACCGGTTGCTATGACATGCACTGCGGTGGCCAACCAGCCCAGTCTAGGCACTGATCGGCGCCCCCTCCAACCTCCCGTGGGCCTTCCTACAAGCTGCGCCCCCCCCTCCCATCGGTCCCCCCACTTCGGTCACGGGTAGGACCAGCTGGCTAACTACCTGTGGCCTCCTCCCCCCAGCTGTCCCCACTCCCGATCGGCCCCTGCAGGCCCCCCCATAGGCCCCTATCTTGGGGGCTAGCTGGCCAACCCCCTGGGGCCCCTCTCACAGCTGGTCGGCCCCTGATAGGCCTCAATCACTGGACAGGCAGAGGGAACCTACCTGTACATGAATTCGTGCACAGGGCCTCTAGTCTATATACACTGAGTGGCCAGATTATCTGAATACATAATAACCTGGCCATTCAGTGTATATCCTATTTAATAAAAGGCTAATATGCAATTTTCCCCCAACTAGGAGTTCAACCAGCAGGCAGGTTGGCCAACTGCTCATGTCCCCTCCCCATGGCCAGGCTGGCTGGACCCAACCCATGCACGAATTCATATACCGGGCCTCTAATATACATATATACGTCGAGTGCCAGATTATTATGCATTCAGAGATCATAATAATTTTGCTACTCAGTGTATATAAAAGCCTAAGCGACTGTTACCCTGTTTCCCCGAAAATAAGACAGTGTCTTATATTAATTTTTGCTCCCAAAGATGTGCTAGGTCTTATTTTCAGGGGATGTCTTATTTTTCCATGAAGAAGAATACGGTACACATTTATTGTTAAATGAAAATAAAGGAAATGTATTACCTGTATACGGTACGGTAGTACGGTAGTTGTCAACACAAACCAGACAAACTGTGAATCCTACAGTATCAAGAATTCACTCATTTATTCAATGACAATCATTTCATCTTCTGGAACATCATCATATAATTACAATCCAATTCCTAAATTTCCTGGTGAATTTCTTGTGACTCCATTTCTTTCAGAATCAGTGGACCAAATATCTCAAGGTTAGCCTAGGGGTGCCTTATTTTCGGGGGATGCCTTATATTTCACTCAGAAGGAAACCTGTAAGTAGGTCTTATTTTAGGAGGATGTCTTATTTTCGGGGAAACATGGTACAACCAAACAACTGGAATGACTGGTTGGCAGTCGCTATGATGTGCACTGGCCACCAGGGGGCAGATGCTCAATGCAGGAGCTGCCCAACCTCCTGTGATCCCTCCCCCTGGCTGGCCAACCTCCTGCAGTCTCTCCCCTGGCTGGCCAACCTCCTGTGGTCCCTTCTGTTCTTTTCCCCCCTGGCAGGCCCCAGTTGGCCCGGCTCTGATTGGCTCAGTCCTGATAGCCCTGATCATTGGTCAGGCCTAAGGATCCACTCCTGCATGAGTTCAGGCACTGGGCCTCTAGTTATGAAATAATTTAGGGACATTTTCTGTTTTTATTTTATAGCACACCCTTTTCCCTCCAAACAACATTGCTTTTCCCAAACAACAAGTGCACTCTCACTTGTCAGCCTCCCTTCTAGTACTCATCAGAGTTCTTAGTTGTAAACAACTGAGCCTATTGTCAAAAGAAGGCAAAGCTACAAAAACATTTAGTAAGAAAAAACATTTTACTTGCTGAGATAGACTGCAAGGAGTTCAGGCTTTAGAAGGATTTGCTTGTCAAATATAAAACAAGCATTTAAAAGAAATCCACTGCAAGATTACTAAGTTCACAGTTATGTTTAT